GATGTTTTGACGTCACACTTCAACCCGAAGAGAAACCTCCAGTTTGAAGTGTATACGTTCCAATCTGCGCACCAGGAGAATGAAGAGACTCTGGATCAGTTCACAATCCGTCTGCGAATGCTCGCGAAGTACTGTGAGTTCACCGATGTAGATCGCAAAATTAAGACTCGCATTATTCAAGCCTGCAAATCGACCAGTCTCAGACGTCGCGCACTGCGCGAAACAATGACCCTCACCGAGCTGCTGACCATCGGAAGAGCGTTGGAAACTTCGGAGGCACAGGCCGCAAATATCGAGCGCGGTGCCGATATAGCAATCAACCGTGTCCAAACCTATCGTCCGCCGCACCATCAAGCGCCTACCAATCGACACAAATCCTAGTCGACGCCGCAGCCGTCGACCACATGTGGGCTGTGCGGAGGAACATACCCGCATGACGGTGGTCCCACCAAGTGTCCGGCACACGGAAAGACATGCTACCAGTGTGGCAAAGTGAACCACTTCAGTCACATGTGCCGCTCAGGAGCTGCCAGATCGCACATGCCACAGACCAACCGAACCCCGAAGTACAATCACAATCGCATGAAGAAGAAGTCTTCTGTGCGTCAGGTCACTGAACAGACGGAGTCATCTAGTGATGATGAATACATTTACGCTTTGGCTACGGGTCAGACACAGCCTCGCACAACCGTGCAAGTCGCAGGCACATCAATCGGTGTCATTATCGACACGGGGGCCAACAAAAACCTGATCGACAGCATCACATTCCGACAACTGTGCCCACCACCCCAACTCGCTCCCACCAAGACAAGGTCATCCGCCTACGGAGCCACCGACCTTCTGCCGATAACAGAGGTATTCACGGCCCCAGTGACGCACGGAAACCGCACCGTCACGGCCAGCTTCTCCGTCGTGGAAGGAGCACACGGATCGCTCCTCAGCTTTCAAACGGCGAAGGACCTCAACCTGCTGGAAGTCATTCAAGAGGTGACAAGCAACCCTCCAGGCAGAACGCTGATCGAAGACCTGCTGGAAACCCATCCCATCACTGAAGGAATCGGCAAACTCAAAGACCATCGAGTGGAACTCCATGTTGACCCAGCGGTAAAACCCATCGCTCAACCGCACAGGCGCATACCGTTGCACACACGGAAGGCTCTGGAGAAGGAACTCCACTCGCTCCAGGAACAGGACATCATCGAACCTGTCACCGGACCGACGCCGTGGGTATCCCCAGTCGTGTGCGTCCCCAAACCGAAGGACCCGACAGCTATCCGCGTGTGTGTGGATATGCGCCGTGTGAATACCGCTATCCAAAGAGAGAGACACCTCACTCCAACAGTAGACGACATCATCCACGACCTAAACGAAGCAAAGGTGTTCAACAAGATCGACCTACGTTCAGGATATCATCAGCTGGTACTCCACCCGAGCAGCAGACCGATCACGACCTTCTCAACTCACAAAGGTCTGTTCCGCTACAAGCGTCTCAGCTTTGGTGTGTGCTCAGCCAGCGAAGTCTTCCAAAACGTCATCCAGCACACGCTCAGTGGCATTGAAGGAGTCCGCAACTTCTCTGACGATATCATCGTCTTCGGTTCAATCCAAGCCGAACACGACAGAGCCCTGACCAAGGTCATCCAAAGACTGCATGAAAAAGGGCTGGCCATCAACCATGATAAGTGCGCCTTCAACCAGAACAAGCTGACCTTCTTCGGCTACACCTTCTCATCGGAGGGAATGTCAGCAGATCCCAAGAAGGTATCGGCGATTGTGAACACCAAGGCACCAGAGAACCCATCGGAAGTGTGAAGCTTCCTCGGCATGACGAACTACCTGTCACGGTTCATACCGAACTACGCCGACCTCACGAGCTCGCTGCGAGATCTCACCAAGTGGGAGTGGACCAGCCATCACGAGACCTCCTTTCAGCGACTCAAAGAAGCTCCGAGTAGCTCTGGAACGATGTCCTACTTCGATCAGAAAAAGGATACGTGCCTCATCGTAGACGCCAGTCCGCACGGACTCGGTGGCATCCTGTGCCAGACCACAACTGAAAATCCTGAGGACATCAAGGTCATCGCATACGGAAGTCGTGCTCTGACCAACGTGGAAAGCCAGTATTGGCAAACCGAGCGAGAAGCCCTCGTCATCGTCTGGGGCTGCGAACACTTTCATCTGTACGTACGCGGTCAGGAGGTGGAAGTTATAACGGACCACAAGCCGGTGCGACTCATTTGGAGCAACCCCGCGTCGAAGCCTCCAGCAAGGGTCGAGCGCTGGGGTCTGCGCCTGCAACCGTACGATCTCGAAATCGTCTACCGACCAGGAAAGGACAACCCAGCCGACTACATGTCACGCCATCCACTAACCAGCGATTCAAGCGACGGAATCACCCTGTCCGATCAGACGGAAGCCTTCATCAACTTTGTCATGAATTCTGCTGTACCAAAAGCCATGACTCGCGAGGAAATCCAGACCTACACCGCAAGAGATGGAACTCTCCAGAAAATCCTCGAGCTGGTGAAGTCGAACCAGTGGCACACCGCCACTCACCGACCTCCAGAAACCGGTCAAGACGACGTCGACTACGACGCCCTGAAATGCTTCGCAGCCATCCATGGAGATCTGACTTTCTCGGAAGACAACACCGTCATCCTTCGTGGAAATCGGCTGGTCATCCCCGCTGCGCTGCAAAGCAAGGCCATCGCCCTGGCCCATCAAGGACACCAAGGCATCGTCAAGATGAAGAAACTCCTGAGAGAGAAGGTGTGGTTCCCGCGCATCGATACACAAGTGGAAGCCACCATCAAGACCTGCACTGCATGCCAAGTCACCGAACCAGTTCGACAGAAGGAACATCTTCAGATGTCGCCGCTCCCAACTGGACCATGGAAGGAGCTGTCTGCTGATTTCTGTGGACCTTTTCCATCGGGCGAATATCTCCTTGTTGTAATCGAGGACTACTCGAGATTCCCGGTTGTCCGTACGACAAAATCAACCTCTGCTCGTACCATCATCCCCATCCTGGACGACATCTTCTCAATGTTCGGGGTTCCCGATGTCATCGGAACAGACAACGGACCTCCGTTCAATGGACATGAGTTCCCCCAGTTCGCGAACTACATCGGCTTCAAGCACCGCAAGATCACCCCGTTGTGGCCAAGAGCTAACGGAGAAGCAGAACGTTTCATGAGAACGCTATCGAAAAGCTGTGAAAGCTGCTGTCGTCGAGAAACACCCGGTCAAGCAGGAAATGAACAAGTTTCTACGAAACTACCGATCGACACCGCACACGACTGCTCAGAAGAGCCCGGCCGAACTACTGTACGGTCGCACAGTGAAGATCATGCTGCTGTCTCTGATGACAACACATCCGGAGGATGGAAAACTCCGCGAGACGGACACAGCCGCGAAGAAGAAGATGAAAGAACAAGCTGGCCGTGGAGCCCAGACAACGAATCTTCAAATAAGACCAAGTTCTGATCCCCGAATTCAAGAAGGGAAAGCTGACACCTCGGTTCTGCCCAGCGCCGTACAAAGTGACCGGAATCCAAGGCGCCATGGTCACCGCACCACGGGGAGGTCACCAGGTGACGAGAAACGCGTCGATATTCAAAGCGTGCCCGCACCTCCATGGACAGGACGCTGATCACTCCGAAGAAGAGGACGAAGAACAGGCGATGGATGACATCCTCGAGTCCATGCGGCGCCACACCCCTACTCCCCGCGCCGCTACTGCGTCCTCCCACGCCACGACGTCGTCCCCGGCGCCAGTGTGTTTTCCGACCATGCGTCACCGTACGCGGCGCCAGCCCGCGTGGATGAAGGACTATGTGTAAGCAATCATCTGAAGAAGGGGAGGATGTAGTGCCTATGTATTGCCGAAATGAAAATCATTCACATTCCCCTGTATTATCATACCCTCCCGGGCTACCATATGAAATGAACCCCTATTTGACCTTGAATAAACTAAGTTTCCCCACCGACCGTTACCACGCGTTTATGGTTACCACACGATTTATGATTCGCACCGAACCAGACCATACGCGAGCTGATCCAGCTCCATAAACACCACAGTTACGTATGCATGTTATGTATATGTGCTGTATTCTGTGTCCGCACGTGGTCTGAAGTGTCCTGTATGGATTTAGTTGGCATGACATTTCCGTGCGTCTCACAGTATCGCGTCTCGCCCTAGTGCGCATCCGGGTCGTATGTCACGTAGCTGAGGCCGTTGCTACCACGCCGCAGTCAGGTGACGTGTGACGTCTGCGCGCCTACGCCCCCCGCCCCGCCCCGCCCCCCCTCCCTCTGCCGACACGCGCCGCGACGGCTCGCACCGCGTCACGCCACGCCGCCGACCCTGCCCACCGCCAGAGCCTGCCCATTGGTTGAGCTATCGCGTTGATGTCAGCGCCACGTCGCCATTGGTTAGCGGAGGGGGCGCGGACTGTCGACACCGTCGCAGAGACCCGCGCGGTCTAGGTGTGGCTCAGAGCCGCCTCCGTAACACGGTAGCTGGTTAATGTAAATAAACGTCACCGAACCTCGCCTGACCATTGTTTTGACCAGAGGAACTTCAGTTTCGAAGAAACCCCGAGTTTCCGAGCTTGGTTTGCCGAGCTCACGCGACCGAGCGTGCTTCGTCGTGCCGTCCGGTTGGGAGGGAGGGGGGACTCCCTGTTGGTGACTCCGTGTTGGTGAAGCCGCTGGCGCACGGCCAGGACGGAGACCACTGTCGCCAGGGCTCCATTCAGGCGCGAGACTGTTGTGGTGGGGGGGGGGGGGAAGGGGAGGGAGACTGGGCCACGTCGACGAATGACGTGCAGCGTCAGGAGCCCTGTTTACATCAGAAATTTAATATGTTACCAGATTGACACCAAGAATGACCAGCTCAGGGTTTTTTTGGTTTTCGTGCATCCGCGGTGCTGGTAACGTGGCGCTTTTGAGTCAAGCTGTGCAACGTTTTGTCATCGCTTTGAGCCGCGTCGGACAGCGTGAGTTGTCAGGGCCATCGGCGCAGGATTGCGGAGAGAGGGATCTATATTTCTGTAGGGTGCCTTATCCGGTCATTGGTCTAAACTGGGTGAGTGATTGTAAGCTGGGAGCAGGTCATGGGGTCCACAAAGGGTCAGGCTGCCTGTCAAATGTTGTTGTCCTTGCTAAGCTTTTCTGATCAGGTTAATGTGGGTCATAGGTTTGCCTGATGTCCCTGTAGCGTGTTTCGAACGAAGCAGTAACATTAAGCAAACCAATTTCCCATTGCTTCCAACCTGCATGCGTATTTAAGTCGGGCGCCGAGGTGAGAGCCCCTTCAACAGAATGAGTACCTTGGCTGCAGGACCTAGTGTGTGGTGATTTTAATGTCAAGAGTATCTTCACAATTGTATGGAACAATATATCAAAATTTGGCCTGGAGGTCAGCATGCCAAAATTCAGCCACTGGCCCTAACATGTATTGGTGTGCTTTTTACTTAATGTGTACTTACACCATAGTCAGACAAGGTCAAGTGATGCTGCAATTTCAAATGGTTATTGTATGAAAAAAGTGTTCAGAGATATTCAGGATAAAGCATTCTTTGCAGCATCACAGTTTCATGAGGTGTTAGCTCTGCATTCTCTGAAACAGCTGCTTATGGTGTGCTGAGCCTTGAATGTTAAAGACTTGCAAGTTATGAGTGGTGGACTTTGGGCATATTACTGTCATATTGCTCATGTTTGACCAGAGTGTATTTTTCACAGCCAGGCCTGAAAATTGGCCAATCAAGCAGTGCCAATTTGTAGAACTTATTGCTGGGCTGTGGTAGAGTCCTTATGATTGTGAACTACATGATTGTGTGTTTTGAAACTGATTTAGCCCTATTTGTGCTCCATTCCACTTCTTATTTATCATTTTTCATCATATAACAGTGAGGTGTTCATCATTTCATTGGACTTATTGCTGTTGAATGATACAGAAAGATGCAACACCTTGTGTGGAGTGACACCCTTGAATGAAACTGATATTTGGCTGTGGGGACATGATGGATATAATAACTGAGCATAAATAACTGAAAATTTTATAAATAGCTTTTATATAGCACTCTTCAGGTGTTTGCAATATCATGTGTGGTGACCAGTCTCTTTGTTCCTCAATCCTTACTATTGACATTGTTTCCTGTTCTTGATGATGTATGCAGAGTCTTGATAGCAGAAGGGCCTCTGTGCCAGCCCCCCAGAATATATGCTATCAACATCCTGAGAGCCAGCAGTGGGCTTTAACACTTAAGCTAAAAGAATACAGTAGGCTCAATCTGAATTGCTCCCTCCACACTTCAAAAGTCTTCTCATGCCCATAAGGTATCTTGCACAAAATTTATTGTCATGACACCATCCTGGTACAGTACTGCAACATGTCCATTACACTATAGGTACTGATCAAGGTAAAGGTACTTGTCCTCACTGGACAGTTATGCAGGGCGAACTATGGGCATGCTTGTTTTATGCAGTGTAACCTATTAAACTTCACTGGCAGAGGCAGTGCAAGTTTTCATGGTCAAAAAAGTTCACAGTAAACACAAGTAAAACATTTGTCATCAAAAGCTATGAAATAATTGTTCATATGATGGTGTCAGGACATGATGTGATAAATCATGTGACCACCCCACTTAATATAGCATAACTATGCATGGCTAAGATACTCCATTGCCCACATCATGCAACAGACCATATCATGGCTTTTCAGCATCATGGATGATGAGGAAGCGAGTGCACTGGCTGTACTTTTGGTGGCACTGCTGTCGATGCTGGCATCGATAAGCTGACAGTGAAGACAACATCAACAGATGATAGCATGGCGGATAGCTCCCCAAAAGTTTGAAAGAGGTACCAGAGATGCGTGAGGAGAAGGAAGGGAAGCACAGACTGGTGGATCAAGATCGTTCTGACATCTGATAATGACACTTTCCTGGAAAACTTTAGGGTACATATATTGTGTTGTGTTGTTTTTTGGTCATGGTAATGAAGGAAACATATTGAAACAACCATGCCACTGTATCCCACTTTCTGGACTGTGTCATGCGTGTCGCGCTGACCCATGAGCTCCCTGCCAGACTTCCTTGTGCTTGCTGCCAACCTTACTGTTGTCGACCAGACCTGTTCTTCGCCGGCCCCTTTCACACAAGTTTCCAACCTTCTCTGCACTCTCTGCCGAACTCAGTCGCACTCGCCGCCAACCTCTTTTGTAGTCACCACCGACCACATGCAAACGCTTCCACCATTCCCACCGGTCATACCACTCGCCGCATGCCTCCACCCGTGCCACCACTTCGGCACTCGCCGCCGACCTCCTACGAGCTCCCCGCCTGCGTTATCTGCGCTCGTCGCAGACTTTCCCCTTGCATAGGTTGAGTATGGCAGCATTGTGACATCAGTTATGTTTCTAAAGATGTAGCAATCACATGTGTACCTAGTGTCTCGAAAGGATTCCAGGATCTAATCACATCAACACAGAATCCTATGAGATACTGCCCGCACCCTTGGAATTCATGCACGTGTGTGGTAATGGTCCTGATTTTGTGGCCTGGCACTTTGTGCCAACTTGGAAGTGTCACACACACTGTGTTAGGTCTTCCATACTATTCATCGGTATTCACATGTCTTTAAGCGAGGCATTTATCAGCCAACATGACTTTTGCACATTGCGGCAATCACAACAATAAAACACTGATTTGGAATAAGGTATTCCCATGATATGACTTGTTACATGCAACCAGTTGCCACTGGAGTTGTGAGTTGGTGATGTTCCATGTGTTGCAATACCTGCCTGATCATGGGCGCTGTTAACCACTTCTTCTTCACCCCGGATGTCGCACGTAACGTTTCAATACGTCTGTCACAAGGTTGGGCCAGTTCTGGCACCAAATCCTGCCACTCCTGGACCTGCCGTGGAACTAAACTGCCGGGTGGTCATCGCCATATATGTTCTCTCCACTACCATGGAGTTCAGGAACATCGGGCACCTGTTCGGTGTTCATAAGTGGACAGTCTTCTCATTCTACAGGAAGTTTGTCCGGTGAGCTATCAGAAGCGCACCGGTGCAAATGTGGTGTGTGGCGTACTACGACCCATCAAAGGCAAACATTGGGCTTTGATATGACTACTTTGATCTGTATCGTCATGCAATGAAATAAGCTGGCCTGTTCATTCAGATACGTGTTTCTCAGGCACGCTCAACTGCACCCACCTGAGGCACGTTCAACTGCACCCAACTGCTCTACAGAAAAGTTTCTTGTTCGCTTCGGTGTAAATGCCAACAGGCTAGCGGCGGTGATCGTTACCTGCGGAGCTCACGGTGGCGGCCGGGATCAGTTGATGGCGATCAATCGATCATTTTCAGGGAATCTGTTAATGGCAATCTTTCTCTGGAGAGCTGGTGACGGCGGCCATTCCCGGCATAGTTGTTTGCGCTGTTTATCTTGACGGGGCTGATGATGGCGAGTGTTAGAGTGGAACTGGTGATGACTGTCATACCCATTAGCCCTGGTGACGGCGGCGGTTCCCAAAATAACTGGTGACGGCGATCATTCCCACCAGGATTTGTAACAGTGCTCATTCTCTGTAGGACTCGGAACGGCATTCTCTTCGAAATGGCTGACTAGCAAATGGTTGTGCTTTTTACTCATCTGTCTGGCCAAGTTCTGCATGCGCCACAAGTAATAAGTCATCGTTAATTTACAGCGCTCTGATAACAGCATGCCTGCATGACTTCATTCGGCTGCCATCGGACGAGGAGGCCGCCGCCTCAGCCCAGGAGGCCTGGGAACGGACGGGATTCCCTGGTGTGTGGGCTGCTTCTGGACGGCACCCATTTGCCCATATCGGCACCAACAGAAGGGTACCATGACTACACCAACCGTAAAGGGTGGCAAAGTTTGACATGCAAGCTCTGGTGGACAACAGGGGAAGGTAGATGTAAAATGGTGCCTGCCACATTTCATCCTAGGATGAAATGCTTAGCCTACCAAACGTGTCCGGATGCGACAAGTTGGAATATCTGTGTCCTAGAAAACCAAGAGGGTTGGTAGCACTGAATGTAACGCTGAGACCCTGTTTCACCATTGGGCTAATAAACTGCAATTCGTGAGGTGATGTACAATATGAACATGCCAGCAGAGTACTGATCCATTTCTATATTTTGAATCAACGTGATATGTTCCATAGAGCAAGGTCTACATATACATCTGGATACCCTCTTTATTATATTTGTATTTATACTGCTTTCAGTCGTCAGAAATGAATAAGTCCAGGTTACACAATGTTTAGGGCAATATCTGCACCACTGTTATTGCTGCATACAGAAACAAACTGACTTTCCTCATGGTCAGATTCCTGGGCGTCACTTGTATGGACTGTGACAAATTTGTAGCAATGGCTGTAAAGTATGAGGAATTGGAATGAATACGGCCAGGCAGTGTTCATCCGAAAATGTTGTGGAGTGAAATTTCTTTGTAGTTACGATTGCCAGAACATGCCTCATCTCCAACAGCATGTGTACTGGTGCATCTTTTATGCTTGAAGGATTGCAGCTTTTTCGCTTGCATCGAACTTGCCTCGCAAAATCTCATTCAGCAAGACTGTCTGACGGAAGGTGGCTGATTCGTGGGCATTTTCTAAGCCATGCTACATTTCACAGGGCACGGCGCGTGTGGGCGACTTGGCTGTGCCGCCAATGATAGCTGGCGGCCCAGCGTACCCACTTCTTCCCTGGCTGATGAAGGGTTATACCGGAGCCCTCACCGAGCGGCAGAAGCATTTCAACACCAGGCACAGCCATGCACGCGTCGCTGTCGAGCATTGCTCAGGCCGTTTTAAAGGGAGATGGCGCCGGCTCCTAAAACGTTCGGAAATTTGCTATGAGGTTATCCCAGCAGCTGCGTTTGCATGTGCGATACTTCACAACATCGTGGAGGAGCGGGGTGAGCCATTTAGGGACGGCTGGTTGGAAGTAGCGGCCGTGGACGAGGCCCAGCAGCCACCTGGCGATATTGGCCGCTCAATTCTGGGAGCTGACGGGCGGCAGACAGCAGTGACCCGGGAACTGATCGCGGGCTTCCTGTGGACACGATGAAGGACCCTTTGATTGTGTGGCGCAAAGCCTGCAGTGGCCCTCCCCTCGTTCGTTGTATATATGCCGTAAATACTTTTGCATTGCACATGAAGGGCAGTCAGTAAACTGAGATCTGTGAAAGCTAACATTTCTCCCTACTTGGTGTTAAACACACCTATAACGTCGTGGAAAAGCCGTAGCTAACGACATCAAGCCGAGTGTGGCGCATGGCATCGCGGTCTGCAAACATGATGATCACTTATTAAATGTTAGCTAAAATTGTTGCGGTATGTAGGGTACCATACTGTCATTGTGCAGATGCTGACTAACCTCTAGCTGAAGGAAGTACTTAAGAACAATGCGTTGTTGTCAGTAAGATAATTTCTTTCTTAAATTATACACAAACACGAGTACGAATGTACGACACAGAACACAAATACGAAAGTACACAAGTACAGGAGTCCGAAGCAGGATTTACAGGTTTGCGATACTTGCGGGCACGTACAAGATTTTTGCAAATGGTCACTATAATACACAATACACATTACTAAATACGATACACGACACGCATCAAATGATACACGAAAACTATATCACACGAGTTACAGATACACATTTACACACAGATACAATATGTACACACGGACTATACATACGCGGAAGGTGCAAGACTATCGGTCGTCTCGACGCTCCACCCTTGCAGCGAGCAAGCGCACACACTGCTCTGCCGCGGCCGCGATGCGCGCCGTCACCTCCAATTCCAGAGAACGCTACCGCTCCTCCATCTCCACCATCCGCCGGAGGAGCATTTCGTAACAGTCGTCGCATCCCGCAGCGCCACGCCCGCCTCTCATGCCGGTCCTCGCGCGCCCGCGTCTGCGTCTGCGTCTGCGTCTGCGTCCTGCGTCTGCGTCCGCGTCTGCGTCCGCGTCCGCGACCGCACCCTCGCGCGCCCGCAGGAGCAGCTGGCTCATCCTGGGCGGCGGCTGGCTCAGCCTAGGCTGCGGCGGCTGGCTCAGCCTAGGCTGCGGCGGCTGGCTCAGCCTGGGCGGCGGCGGCTGGCTCAGCCTGGGCGGCGACGGCTGGCCCATCCTGGGCGATGGCGGCTGGCTCAGCCTGGGCGATGGCGGCTGGCTCAGCCCGGGCGACGGCGGCTGGCTGCTCTTGGACGAGGTACAACGGCGCGACCTGAACTGGCGGCTAGGCCGACGCTGGCCGGTAGGCTGGGGCCTCACTTGATAGAGACCTGGACGCCGCGGGCCGGTGAGCTAGGGCCGCACCCCATAGCGACATGGCCGGCGGCCTCGCCGACGTGGGCCGATGAGCTGGGGCTACACCCGACGCGGGCCGGTGAGGTAGGGCCGCACCCCATGGCGAGATGGCCGGCGGTCCTGCCGACGCGGGCCGGTGAGCTGGGGCCGCACCCGATGGCGAGATGGCCGGCGGCCCTGCCGACGGCTGCCCCGACGCCGGCTCCGGGCTGCTTAAGAAGAGCTCTTCCGTCAGTGTGATGTCGGAATCGGAGTCCGTGTCGCTGTCCCGCGGCAGTGGTGGCAGGTCGGGTCGGCATCCCGGGTTCGGCGTAGATTGCCGCTGCCCAGCCTGCCTAGGTAGCCCGGATGGCCCAGCCACAGCAGCTTGTGCCGGCCGCCGGACCACGGTGAGCACAACGTCAGTGTTTCTTTCACTTGCACTGCGGGCGCCAACTGAAAGGACGACAGAGAAGCATGTACCAAATGTAAGCAATGGATATATTTCCAGGTGGATATATTTCCAGGGAAACGAGCACAATGTGATTCAAAACAGAACCGTGCAGAATTTGGTACAACATCCACAAACATACCAACGTGTTTCATTAAAGAATCCTCTCACTCCCAGCCACTACTCTTTGTGCAGCAGTTCAACACATTCCGCAAAGGTGTCGACATCATGACAGAGGTGGCATGACTAGCACGCAATTCCAATTTCTGGTCGTGGGGAAATTGACTACGGCACAGTACATCATTGGGAACTGGTATACAAAGGGAAATAGTACTATGAAAGCTGGCATTCAGTTTCAATCTACTGCAGTTTTTCTGTCCTGCCAGCTTTTCGTTAATTTACACAATATTCTTTGCATAGTGACTTACAGAACACGTCCTCCCGTTCCGGCGTAGGGGCAGTGACGGCCATGCCCACAGCCAAGTCCATATCCATGTCATATGGCCTGGTCCGGCCGGACCGCTGGCCGAGAGCATGTCGAGGCCAAGCCCATGTCCTCCATGGCCTTTCGGTCCGTGACCGCTCAAGCAATGCTAGCAGACACATTGAAAATAGCCGCAGCAACGAACGAACAACGCACCGCTATCGACCGGCCTAGCGTCACACTAAATGTGGCGCTTTTGCGGCTTAACTCTGGCGTAAACGCAGCTTTCAGCAACTCATGGCACAAAAAAATAAACTTGACCAATCAGAGAAGAGATTTCAAAGTTCAAGATCGATACAAATTGCCATGTAGCAGCGAGGCCGTCCATCCTGGGACCGCCAGGCTATCATATGGAATTTGGTAGCCTGGCAGAGATTCGCTCCAAGCTACCATATTTTCCATACACAAATATAGTGCAAGATGCTATAGTTATTGCAGTCAGTCGTACTGCCTGGGTGCGAAGTAAAGAGCACAGACACACTTGCAACACAAATTTTGATAATTTCCAGTGCTTTCTTAAAGGCAAAACTGAGATTATTATTAGCACATTTTTGTTCCAATCCGGCAATTATTTATTTTCCAATGCAAGCAATGTTAACAGGGCTACTGTTATGTGCGTTGCGTGCCCATATGTCTATCACACCAGTCAGCCCTGCGCTGAAAGTGGACCTTTTACATGATGGCATCGCGCCATGAGCGCCGTCTCGCGCGCGCCGCCGTGCCTCCAGCTGGGCACCAGAAGATCGTTCTCCTCTGACGGCCAGCGACGAGCCCTGTTCTCCCGCGGAGAACACACGCAGGCGCAGGAGGACCCGCCCCGCATCTTAATCACAGGTGAGGCTAGAGGACGGCGCTGCACGAGGGCGGTCCGACCGCCGGGATGGTCGCAGGGTTTTGTGGAGAAGCAGAACGGCGGGCGTCGTACGATGTTGAGGGGAGGGGAGATGAGGGGAGACGACCTGAACGGCCTGAGGAGACGTCACTCGTGAAGGGGAGACGACTTGAACGGCCTGAGGAGACGTCACTCGTGAAGGGGAGACGACTTGAACGGCCTGAGGTTGAAGCGGTGATTGGATTGGATGTGCCGAAGAGGCTGCCGTCAACACGCGGAAAAAAAACAAGGCTCATTTCGAGTGCCGACCAGGGCACACATGCCATTACATGACGCGTCCGTCATGTCGTGACGTCACGTGACGCGACCACATTTGTCCTGTCGTGATGAGTCATTGGCTATGTTCTATAGGAATGCACTTAATTTATGGTGCAGTCACTCGTAGTTCGCTTCCGAATTCGGGAAGTGCGGAAGCTAGGATGAAAACTGTTATGGCCAATCACATGCCGCGCAGTCAGCCATCATCTCTGGAGCTTTTTTGGCGCCTTTATCGATTGAAGGCCAGATCAAACTTCCATGCTCTTAAGTCTCAGTCCGAGCTGCCAACGCCCCAGGCTGCCTTCCCCATTAACAACAGCTGTCCACAAGTTGCAACCTATGACGTCAAAGGTAAGTGCGTCACAACAGCTCTCACGGATTGGAGAATGGTCGCTTATGTATGCGTCGTTCTAGGGAGCAACTCAAGTAGGTACTTTGCCAATGAGGAACACAGCCCTGGTGGTTGGCTGACCCTAGCCCTGTTTACATTGGAAAATAAGTGGTTGCCAGATTGGAACAAGAATGTGCCAATAATGATAGGGCGCGTGTAAATCGACTCACGAGTGCATCTACACAGAACAGTTCCTCTGCTTAAATCCACTACGAAGTGGATTTACACAGAATGCCACTCCTGTGTAAATCGACTCAGATCTGAGTTGATCTACACATAAACGCACTGTTGTGTAAGTCCACTTGTGAGTAGATCTACACAAGTGTGGCTTCAGGAGTAAATCGACTCAGATCTGAGTGGATTTACACAGGAGCGTCATTCTGTGTATTTACACTCCGGAGCGGATTTAAGCAGAGAAGGTGTTCTGTGTATATCCACTCATGACGTGATATACACAGAAGCGCCATTCTGTGTAATTCCACTCGAGAGTGGATTTAAGCAGAGAAGGTGTTCTGTGTAGATGCACTCATGATGGATGCAAACACCTGTGAATTACATCGTGTTGTGATTCGCGCGGGAGACAGAGCGTATTCAACGCAGCGAACTGGCGAACTGATGTATGACTTACCGAGTAAGGGAAAGGTGTGATTTCAGAAATCAAACAAAGGCACAAAAGCTGAAAATATGCATTTGCCCATGCATAGCTCATTTTTGCATCACTGAAGCTACACATCTGCATACTTTATTGAGAACATATCGTCCAGAGATACGAATATATATATATATATATATATATATATATATATATATATATATATATATATATATATATATATATATATATATATAGTATGCGTACGTTTGTGCGTGTGCGTGTGTATGTACCAGGAAAGGTAGATGCTGAACTTGTCATTTGCTTACAAGGCACGCCATGCAGCATCGCATGCTTGTCACACGGTGGTTTGCAGTGTGCGGCTTTTATTCAGTCTTGATAACGGGTGAGGGGTGCGGAGGGCTCCCAAAGGGGCTCCTTGATGGTGAAACGCCCCCCCCCCCTCATACACTCAAATTCGTCGGCTTTGGCCGTTGGACTTTCACCGGCATGATTTTATGCGTGTTTTATGCATTTCTAACTTTCTTCACTGGGGGCAGAAGCCATGAAAGGTACTGGAAAGCAATTTGATGTCTGCATTTTATTGCAGGCAATAATTAACAGAAGGGAGGTGATGTTAGATGACATACAAAATAACGCATCGGTGTTACTCCTTTTAAATTGTTAAGCCGGTTCTATCCAAAGGGCTTTGACCTCAGAGCTTTGCCAAGTTTTTGTTCTGAGCTCTGCAGAGATATTCATGACCCCGCGCACGTTGAGTGTAGATGGAAATGGGATCAGCAATTTTTTTCACCTTGGATAACCCATGTTCGTCTGGGGATGTTAAACGTTCTGTCAGAATTTATTAGTGACGCAACTTGTGTAACAGTGTTTAGGATACGCACTTCAAGTCTTGGAAGCCTAATCGAATGCTGTGATTGCATCTCCTCATGCAGTAATGCATCCCCGCCCAGAGTTTCAATACGGCAAGTGTATCCTCGATTTCAGAGGTCAAGTTAGGTCACTTCCGGTGAACCTAAGGTCTTGTAATTAGCATCTGTAATAGTACCGAGCATTTAAAAGGCAATGGTAAGAAATGCCCGACCGTAGCGGTTATATTTTCGAATGGGACTACTTGAAGTCATCTTTGGAAAAACAGACTTAATTTAAGTAGCGCTCCGCTGGGCTGGAAAATCGCAATGATTGGGCGTTGAATAGCGGGGTAGGTAAAATGGAAAAATGCATGGAAGACTTCGTTAAGTCCTCACTAAAAAAAAAAAAAATTGGAACCGTAATCGGCAAACCCAAACCTGGGCCGTACCTACGTTCATGCCTATGCAACCTACATTCTGAATACAATTCGGTACCTTAACTGAACCTAGTACTGTGAAGTAACCCAACTGAAGCTACCCAACTGATTCACACGCGGCACCAATATGGGTGTGTTTGACATCCAGACCAGTCTTTCCTCTGTAAATTTGAAGTCGCTCAACTTGGGGCGGACTTAAAACCGAGAACTTCA